ATTCGTAGTTTTTGTATAAATAATAGACCATCTATTAGTTCGTAATGGGCCGCCCTATTTCTTATCGCCACAATATCTTGGTGGCTAAAATTTTCAGGATCCTTTAAATACTCATAAATGCTTCCAAACTCAGGATCCTTACCCAGTTCGGTTATTACAGTTTCTCGGGAATTTATTGTACATGCTGTGAGCATTGCCACCTTTACAGTATTACCTTCTTCATCTATTTTAATTCTGGATAGGGCATCTGCTACGATATTTTCCTTTCCGGGGGTATGCTTGATTACCAGATTATATTCTTGTAGCTTGAGTGCCCATCTTATTAACCTTGGGGATAAGTTTTTTCCCTGAGTACAATCTAGTTACCGCCGCATGATCAGAGTACACTGTTATTGGCGCCTTTCCAAAATAGACTCGGAACTTTTGCACTGCTAACAGAACTGCAAGTGCCTCTCTCTCGGTCGCGGAATAGTTTCTTTGTGTTTGATTTAAAGTTCGGCTAAAAAATGCCACGGGCTGCTGATTTTGGCGAAAGTACCGCTCCTACCGCATAATCCGAAGCATCCGCTGAAATTTCTAAATTCTCATCCTTTTCAGGAAATTTCAACACAGGGGCTTGCGTTAATGCTTGTTTTAATTTTTCGAAAGCACTATTGGCTTCGGCCGTCCACGAGAATCTTGCCTTTTTCCTTTTTAATTTTAACAATGGTTCAGCAATAGCTGCAAAATCTTTTATAAAGGACCTATAATATGAACAAAGTCCTAGAAAAGAAGAGAGCTTCTTCGCCGTGTTTGGAGTCGGATACTTTTGTACAGCGATTATTTTTGATTCGTCTGTCTCTATTCCTTTCTGAGATATTTTGTAACCTAAATATTTTAATTCAGGGGCTGCAAATTTGCACTTTTCGACATTAACTTTTAGACCGGCCTCATTTAATAAAGAAAACACCTGTCTTAAATCCTGTACATGTTGGTCGAGATTATCACTAGTAATAATGATATCGTCTAAATAGATAAATGTGGACTTTCCAAGAACAGGCCTTAACACAATGTCCATACATCGCTGAAATGTTGCCGGTGCCCCTGAAAGGCCAAACGGCATACGCAAAAATGCATAAGTGCCAGACTTGGTTATAAAAGCAGTCTTAGGCACGTCCTCAGGCCTAACCCCTATTTGAAAATAACCAGTCGTTAAGTCTAAAGTCGTCATATATTTGGTGGATGTTATGTTCCTTAGAATTTCTTCAATAATAGGTAACGGATATACCGGATATTTAGTTATGGAGTTTAATTTACGGTAGTCAATTGCGAATCTCCACCTTTTTGGATGTGTCAAAGGATAGTCATTATTTTTCTTACATAAAACCACCAGGCTAGCATAACTACTTGAGATGGGCGTTATGATCTTTTTACGTAGCATATCGGTGATATGCCATTCTATAATTTTTTCCTTATTCTTATCATACCGGTATGCTTTGTGGCGAACTGGCATTGAATCTCCGGTGTCAATACTATGGTTAGTAACCTGAGTAAATCCTGGAATATCACTAAATAACGAAGCAAATTCACTTACCACTTGTCGGATTCTTCGTTGCTCTTCATTAGGCAGGTGGTCAAGATTTAACATCGGCGGTTCAGCCTTTTCTTCCACGAACTGGTTTCATCATCGTCAGCTTAAGGGACGCTTCATTAAAATCCAGCGTTGCTTGTGCCTCTGAAAGAAAATCTATTCCTAAGATAATATGTGCTTGCAGATTCTTTACTATGAAAAACATAACCTTTACTTGTTCGTCCTTGATACGGACATACAGCGGTAATTTACCTATACACTTACATTTTTCTCCTTGCGCCGCTAACACTGTCGTATTATCCGAATTATATATGCGGTATTTACGAAAATACTTCCTAAAAAAATCTTCTGCCACACAGGAACACTGCGCGCCTGTATCCAGGAGTGCGGTGGCTGGGATATTATTCACCAACACTTCAATCTTCGGAAGAGTCAAATTTTTCACCATTACTGTATTTAACTTGAAGGAAAGAGGGTTTTCGTGGCCTTCGGATTTCCGCACCCTCCCGTCAGCAGAAATCCGTTTTAGTTTAAATTATTTTTCATTTCCGTGCTTTCCTTCTTTTTCCACTGGCCTTGAGACTTTTTTCCTGGATTGCTATTGAACTGTCGACGTTCGCCGGCTGTTTTTTGAATGCTCGGGTTTCCTTGCCCACTGATTCGCTTTGCTTCCGTAGCCGTGTGCTTGAGTTTGCTGTAGTCTTGGCGCACCAAATTGGTTTCGCTGTTGATATTGGCGTCTTCTTTCAATGTCCGCCGTTCTTCTACTTTCAAACTGGATTGCTAGCTCAAATAACTTTTCCAGTGTAGTCGGATTTCTTAATTCAATAAAGTCTTGCACTTGGGGCAGTAACCTCGGCAAAATCACTTGAATTATCTCAGGATCCGGACGGTTTCCATACAAGAGTTTGAAGACGTGAATTTTTCTTAAAATAAAGCTTGAGAGATTTTCGATTCTTTGCTGATATATACTGAAAAGTTCCGTTTCTAATTTCGCACGATCCCTTACAACAGGGAAGGCTTTTACTAGGGCAGTCTTGAAATTCTCGTAAGTATAGGTGGGACTTCCTGCTTGACCCAAGAGACTTCTGCCTATACATTTGAACCAGTTAAGCGCTTGGCCCCTCAAAGCGCTGGTAGCTAAGGTAACTTTTTGAAATTCGTGCACGGGGTAGAGCATGAAGTGGTCATCCAATTTTTCCAAAAAACTGGTTACCGGTGAGTTTCCATTAAATGTTGCTTCTGGTTTCATCGAAGCGCGCATGGTCTGGACGATGTAACCAAATCCTTCCAGGGCGGCAGCTGGCATTTCTGGATTCTGAGCCGCTTCTGCAGGCAGCACAGGTTCTTCTTGAAACTCGGCCATGGTTTTTATTCTTCTTCTTCGTTGGGCGCCACTATCAGGTTCAATGTTCCGTCTTACTTTCTTCGGGAACATGCAAGGACCTGACTCGGAACAGAGAGCTTACTAAAGCTATGTTCAATAACTGTGGGAAGTAGACAGGATACACAAGAAGGGTATACAAAACCCTTTATTTTTCTCTATTTACAATAACTTCCGTACTTCGGAATACACAGATCCACTACTTGTGGTCTAAACGTAAGAATATAAAAATAGAACTAAACTCTAACTTAACTTTAAAATAATAAACGTGGAAGATTGGCCTTATATTAACAGGAAGCCGTATGTAGTACAGAGAACTGTGAACACTACAATACGTTTAAAAATTATCAAGAGGATTAAACCTCTGGCCTGGAAGGCAACCAGCAACTGAGTAAAACTTCTAAGGTAAGCGGCCTGCTTCGACTAACTGCTTCCTCTCTCTCGCTTGGCAAAAAGCCACAACTTAAATACTTGGTGTTCGCCAGATAAATTTTGCATAAATACGTTAACGCTTATAATTCTGGCCGGAAGTAGAAAATAAGAAGTGATAGTAAAGATTTAAAATAAAATAAACGTTAGTAAAACTTAAGATGCTTACAATATCAACTCAATAATTTTTACAACGATTTTTTTCCATATAACAAATTCGCAACCTATACTTTTCTTAAAATATGATCAGTTAGTCTTAGATTATTATTTATCATAAAGTATTTACCATAAAGAGATAATTTATCATAAAGTTCCGATTTCAGCTTGGCTCTATCTTTATCCACCGCGAATACTCCCAAAAGTGCATTTTAAAATATATCTATCTTATTTTCGAAGTCCCTGCTTCATTTAGTATATATTTAGTAGTACCTTTACACCATTTCTGTACTTGACCTTGTAGCTGAATTGTTGGTATGGCCATCTTTTGCACTTCGAAAACTAGTTTAATAGTAAATGTGTCTTAAAGTTTTCTAAAAAGGCCAGGACCTTCTTCAACACTACTCGATGGTTTCATTGAGGCATGCATAGAGCCATGCATTGACTATAAATCTGAAGTCTTGCGTGTGACTTCAAAAGTCACATGGAAGGCTTATTGGTACCGTAGGCTTCCTGGAGCCGTTGAGCACCAAATGTAGGATTCTGGTTTGTCTAAAAGCTTGTGTTAATGTCCTGTACACTGGAAACGAGTATCACTTATTCTCAAACGAAGAATAAGAAACAAAAAAGACTAATACACAAAGTCAATAACAAAGTTAAAAAAAACCAGCTTATTTAATTTTTAAATGTACAGAAAGGCAGTGCTTATGGGGCAGATTAATCTCCATTACTTGCGCGAATTTAAATTAACGTAAAATAACATTAAATTCAAATGTAGCTAATCTGAAACTGCAACACAAAACAAACTATTTTAACTGGCTCAAGATAGTTATTGTGCGTATTTTAAACGTCAGCTAGCAAGATTCTAAAGCTGGAAAAAAATTGGGAAAACTGGCGATATTAAGTAACAGAAAGACGAGCCTGCCAGAAGTTCTAAGCATTCAAGCCTTCGGCTTAAATACACAGACAACTAATTTGCATTCTGGCGAGGACCACGAAAATAAGAAATTACAATAAAGTTCAAATCATAATAATTGATTAATTAGCATTATCAGGTTCAATGTTCCGCCTTACTTTCTTTGGGAACATGCAAAGACCCTGACTCGGAACAGGGAGCTTACTAAAGCTATGTTCAATAAGTGTGGGAAGTAGACAAGATACACAGGAAGGGTATACGAAACCTTTATTTTCACTCTTTACAATAATTTCCGTACTTCGAATACAGAGACCAACTACTTGTGGTCTGAACGTAAGAATATAAAAATATTAACTAAACTTTAACTTAAATTCGGAATAATAAACAAGGGCCTACGTGGAAGATTGGCTGTATATTAACAGGAAGCCGTATGTAGTACAGAGAACTGTTAACACTACAATACGTCCTTTTTTGTTCACAGATTATTTTTTTTTGTGAAGACTTACTTTTTCATCGCTTTTTCATATCTCTTAAAATAATTTTAGGTGCGAGTGCTGCAGAGGAAATGCCAAGACCTAATGCCATCAAGTTCCATCTTCCCTATCACCTGACTCCAAAGTCAGATAAAGCCAAGTATATTTATGTAGCCAGAAATCCTAAAGACTGCTGCGTTTCCTATTTCCACCACATGAAAAATATCCCTGGTCACGGCTTCAGTGGAACTTTTGATGACTTTTTCGAACTTTTCATTTCTGGAAACATAGACTACGGGGATTATTTTGATCACGTTCTTGGTTGGTACGCTCACAGGTAATTCCAAAGTAATTAGCTTTAATAACAAGTCAGTTCATAAAATCTCTTTTCTCCATACTATATTGTTACTAATTTCATCATATATCAAAATAATATTAGAATAAGAAAATAAAATGATGCTCACCTTTCTTACCTATTTCTCATTGCGCTGGTAAACACCTTCCGTTTTAATTTCTTATTAAATATCGAAGGAAGCAGCAAAAACATTTTTCAACTAGGGACCACTTTTATAAATTATATTCTCTATGCACCAACTTCTTCTTGTCCCTTTCAAAAGTAATTTTTTCTCACATATTACTACCAATATACTTATGCTTTTAAAATACAAATAATTAAAATTCATTTAACTTTTATACTGCCATTAACTGATTAAGTTAATAGAAGATAATGTATATTTGTTTTGAATAACTTTAGCACTTTAGCATTTTAGACACTATTTGGAATGCAAGAGAGACCACGTGGAGCCGGCCGTGGTAGAAGAGAGAAATATCTTTAAATTTCTTGCATTTCCTCCATCTAAAGGTCAACTGAAAGGAAGAAGTATGGATGCCAGGTATCCCAGTTTTTGACGAAGTTGTCTTCTGTCTTGAAATAATGTTTTCAAAACGTTAGTTTGCCCAAGATTTTTTTTCATATTATTTCTTACAATAGTCTGCCTCCATCTGGTGTTCTTCGAGATATTCACGTGCACACGATTTCGCAATCATTTTTATATTTCTCCTGTCCAAATATTTTATTGATCTTCCCCTCGGATAGGAATCTGGTTGGATTCTGTTGTTATCATAAAGCAGCTGTGAGCAGAATATTGTGGTAGGTTTTCTTTCGTAATCAATAGCGGCAATCGTTGCATATACGTGAATTCAGTTCAAATATGCCCTTCGAAATTTTGATGTGACAATGACCCACATACGGCAAGCATTGTCTTAAGATATTACAGGTGGAATATGTGAACATTCTGCGAAATTTCCATAGTTTTCCAATCATATATTTGAATGTACATAGAATATCATAATGTCCACTTACTATTAAATGCCTTGGATCTTCCCAAAATATTCAAGGAATACATCTTTTAGGAATGTTTCAGAAATTTAAGCTATGCACATAAAGTCTGTTTCTATGTCAATACCTAAAGATTTCCTTGGGCTTTTATACAAGCAACCATCATAACCCATTCTTTGCGAAGGTTAGGTACACCTTTAAGAATATATGAAAGATTTTTCTTTACAGTGTAAAGCCCATGAAATACAGCTCAAATATTTCAGGCATATTTTTTCAAATAGACTGAAAGAACATTCAAATTGGAATATGCTTGAAATAAATCAAATTACTTGCGATTGTTTCGGGAATATTAAGGGAAGAAAATGCTGCGTGAGGAGCAGCACAGACTATTCCATGCTATGCAAGGCAAAAATCTAAAATTTCCAAATATGAAAATTATTCCATTATTGCTTTAGAAAATATTAAGGCGAAATAATATTCTTAATATGTTTAGTAAAACTAATTTAGTGAATAAAGCATGATTTATTTCCGTAGAAATATCCTTGATGATAACAGTAAAATAAATATGCCGGGTTTTGGCAGTCAAAAATAGCGACAACTCTAGGGAGACTGCAATAACCCAGTCAACTAGAACATTATGATAACAAGTCCCCATCTATCAAGTTTTGGTTTTGTCACCACTGTGGAGTCATTAATAATCATTCTTGAGCAGAGAATATCGAACAAATAGTTGTACTCTCGCTAGAAGCTGAGACCTTCCAGTTGCCAACTGGTATGGTTGGATACGGTAGTAGCTCACGAAAAGAATAGCTTTAAATTTCTTACAAAAGACCTAACAGAAAGCAAAAGTATCTTTATCTCAGTCATCTACACTGGTGTGCAAAAATTAAGGACGAAATCGAAAAATTAGCATATTAGCTGAACGAAGAGGCAGAGCGGACAGAAAGACCAATCAGGAGATTAAGTAAGGTGATGTACGGTAGCACATGCGCAGATATGCAGGCAGACGTAATGGGGGGGAGTGTCTGAGTAGTGTAAAGCATGTTGTCGGTGTAAGATCAGTATTTCTGGCAAAGAGATTGCACGTCGTATAGCAGTTAAAATCACACCGAGTTGCTGCCTCAGCGAGAAATGGCGAATAATCAATCTGTTAGACGACATCTGGATGCTTTTACCCGAGGTCGAATCATTGGGAAGTTGGAGGAAGGCCGCAGTGTGAAAAGTGTGGCTGCAGAGTTTGGAATTGCTCACAGCATCGTTTCACGACTTTGGAGACAATTTCAAACTACAGGAACAGCTATGCGGAGGTTTAGTAGTGGTCGTCCACGAGGAACCACAACCGCAGATGACCGGTATATTGCCTTACAGGACAGAAGAACCAGGCGGCAGACAGCAGCAGAAATCGCTAGACACACGACACAAGCGACTGGATGACCGATATCGCGTTTTACCGTGGCCAGAAGACTGCACGGTGGTGGTCTGTTTGCATGACGCCCTGTACGGTGTGTACCTCTAACGCCTGCCCATCGGAGAACGCGTTCTCTGTGGTGCCGGGAACACCGGAATTGGAGAGACAATGAATGGGGACGAGTACTCTTTACAGATGAGAGCAGATTCAGTCTGAGTAGCGATTCTCATCGCATACTCATCTGGAGAGAGCGGGGAAGCCGCAATCATCCCTCGAACATCATTGAAAGGGACAGGTATGGAGGTGGCGGTGTTCTCGTTTGGGGAGGCATCATGCTTGGTAGTCGTACAGACCTTCACATCTTCGACGCAGGTTCAGTCAACGGGACCCGTTATTCTAACGAGATTCTTCTTCCATATGTGCGTCTTTTTAGAGGCGCTACGGGTCTGCAGTTCCTTTTCATGGACAACAATGCACCATGTCATCGCAGAGTAGCTGCCGAACAGCTCTTAGAGAGTGAGGATATTGAACGTATGGATTGGTCGGCACGATCTCCGGATCTCAATCCCATCGAGCATGTATGGGATTTTCTAGGCAGACGCTTGGCAGCTCGTACCTTACCACCAGTAACGATTCTGGAGCTTCGATTGGCGCTGCAAGACGAATGGGCAGCAATGTCTCAACAACTCATTGACACCCTCATTCTCAGCATGGGCAGACGCTGTGAAACCTGCCTAGCAGTCAGGCAGATCATATCCCCTATTAAAGACCGGATGTTTCTTGCTGGACACCCATCACAGGGGTGTTTCGGCCTTCAGTCGCATTGCGCTCCATGCAACGTTTTTCAATAAAGCTTCTTTTTATCCCTCTGATTTCTCTTTTAGTAAGTGTTGCTTACATTACTCATGTCCTTACGTTTTGGGGATCTTACGGTATTTTAATGTGTTGATTTGGAAAGCTTTTGTACAAAGTTATATTGAAAAAACCATCTCGTCCTTAATTTTTGCACACCAGTGTATGTGGGTAATCTGTCTGTGTAGACATTGACATGATTCTTGCCTCTACATATTATTAGTCAGCAATTATTTTGTCAAAGAAACACAATTCTGGATAAAACATAATGACTCATTTCACAGGTTAATATTCTTGATAGAATTGCAACATTTTAGATTTCGGAATTTTTTACGAATGCGCAACGTGTACAGTTACGAACTTATTGCATATTTTTTTTTTTTTAAATTTAAGACTTGCTTCTCTCCGTAAGCACTTAAAAAATTATGATTAAATTCTGTGTCTTTTCTAGGAAGGATTCAAATGTACTTTTCTTGACTTATGAGCAAATGAAAGAAGATACAAGTGGTGCTATTTTAAAAATGGCATCGTTCATTGATGACTCTTTATACGCAGAACCTCTCCGAAATGATCCGGAAATTTTGAATAACATATTAAAATTTAGCAGTTTTGATTACATGAAAAATAAAGTAAACAAAAGTATGGAGGAACTGACATCAATGACTAAAGAAGAAATAATGAATTCTTCTCTTCCTAGCCAACTGAAAAAGTTGTTCACTTCTTTTGATCGTCCAAAACCGGAAAAAATACAAAGGAAGAAAGATGAAAACAGCGGTTTTGTACGAAAGGGAATCATTGGCGACTGGAAAAACTACTTTTCTGAGGAGCAGAACAGACGCATGGATGAGAAATTTGCTGAGAAAACGAAACGCACCGATTTGGATAATTTGTGGAAAAATTACATGTAACTAATTTTCAATGATCTGAAACTAACAGAGGAAACAGAATGATCTCGTAGTTTTAGAATACCTTAATAATATGTGCAATAAATTATTATTATTATGTTTGAACCTTTAATTTTATTTACTTAGCCTTTCGAATATCTGATGCATTACATCATTATATGCAAACCTTCACTATATAATGCAATATTATTTATTATTTTATTAACATGAGATAAGAATTAACGTTAAGTGAAATTCTGAAAATACGTATTTTATACACGAAGATTAAATGCATAGTAGCACAGGCATAATCTAAGATAAAGATAAAAAGAAATATTTTAATTATTTTTTAGAACTGTCTCCTTCTTATAATAATTCTTTTATTAATGCAATAACTCCCACTCGCTCAAGATTATTATACCTGCTTTATGTCTTTGAAGCTATGAGTGCAAGCAGTACTTAAATATTTTATTTGTATGTATTTCAAATATTTGTAATTACTTCAAAATAATATAATTTCCTTTTATCCTCCGTTAAACAATCACGAAATTTTGTAATATTCTTTATTATATATTGAAGACTGAAGAATACGTTTTCTTCTACAAAATAATTTTTGTTAGTTTTTACACAAATTCTTTTTTTAATTAATTATAAAAAGAAGGTGTCGTGTCTAAACCTATCAAATCTTAACCTATTTTGTATTGGATTGATTATGGCAAAGCAAGCACGGGTTATCTACCTAAGAGAAATGATGCTTTCATGTAGGATTCTTTAACAAAAGCTGGGTAGCATTTTTGTTTCACATGGAGAAACTCGTGGAAACGTCCATGTAGACAGCCCATTCTTTGGGTCGAATTATCAACATTTAGCAATTTTATCCACCCGATTACTGGTGTGCTTATTGTTTTCGTGCTAAAAAAATTAACCTCAAACGCTAAAAGGGAAGGTATGAAGATAAAAAGAGGTATTCAAAATATACAATTTACATATAAAGTAGAGGTTGCATCGCCAAATGCAAATAAGCAACCAAAATTAGCACAAAACGCAATCCCACATTCACACCACAACGACTTAAAAAAGGGCATGCCGCAACTATGTGTCAGTTCGCAAACAGCAATAATTCAGTACAATCCAAGACGCCAAAGCGGAAAGCCATGAGCTGAAGATACCATTTGCATGATGAAATGCATTGGACGGCTGTCGGCTAGTGCAAGACAATCCGTTGTGGCGAGAGAGCTGAATGTGCACCGTAGGTCATCAATATGCTGTGGAATCATTATCAAAGGGATCAAAATCTCTATAGAAGACGTGGGTCGGACGCCGAAGTATTACCATAACAGTAGATGATCGCTACCTGTTGCTATGTGTAAGACGCCATAGGTCACTAACAGCATGACAGTTGGCGTCACATCTCTCTGCTGCTGCAGAACATATAAAATATTCTTTTATATTAAATAATTCGCCTGTACACTCTAGGATTACACTCTAGGATAGAGTGTTGTATAATTATACACCTTTTTCAGTGGAAGTTTTTACTTAGCTCTTGAAGAAAGAAAAAAAATCTTAATAAATTATTTGCATTTTAAATTAAAATTTGCGTGAAAATTCATTTAATTACGTATTAAGTATCATTTAACTTTTGAAAGTCACCCTGATCTGTGGAGAGGTTAGAGTAACAGACTGCCGTATCGTTGGGCTCGGGTTCGAATTCCGGAGAAAGCTTGGATCTTTGGGCATGGAGACACAAGTTCGCTCAAGAATATTTTCGGTAGCGAAAGAAGAGTGCGAGACTCTCGGATCCACCTCTCGGGGTGTTTGCAGTCAAAATCGTTTTGCAACTTCTCCCTTACTTGCGGGTTATAAATGAGTTGTCCCCTGTGGAGCACCTTGGTGAGATGGTTGAATGACCTATGGATATGGACAAGTGCCGATAAATGCATTAAGTTGTAAGTGTGCGGTCAGCAAGCTAATTTGCAACAGTAGAAAATCTAATACAGCTCAAAGCTCTGTGATAGAACTTAGAGCCTGAAATCTTATTTATGCTCCAAACTAATTTGTAATTTAATCAAAATTGATGAAAGTTAAAAGAAAGGCGAAACAATTAAGATATTGGGTTAATTAAAATGAAACCGTACAAGACTATCGGAAAAGAAAATATTTTAATACACGATTTCTCACACTGCTTGGCACATACGAAATTCAATTGAATTTTAACAAGTTTACTAATGGCTATGTTAATTTTTATGATCATTGTTTTATTTTTCCTGCCAATGTAATTTAACTTTATAGCAAATTTGCATGTTTTGGATGTAGCCTTTCACCAAATGTTATTTTCTATTAATGACGATTTAAGAATGGATTTTTTTCTTACTTTTCTTATTACAAAAGTACATTCGGTTAAATTTTTATTCTTGAATACTGTTTTAATTAAGTATCAGAAAAAAAAAACTATCATATCCAAATATAAATATTTTTATTGCATTTAAAAACTACATGAAATATAAATTGCTATCTCTTTATAATGACATTGCTATTAACTTCAAATATATATCATCTGTTTTAAATTTGTAGAATTAACATCATTAATTTTACCACGTCAAAATTTCACTAGGCATCTCTGAATTGTATATGCTACTGTTTATGTATTAAAGGACGTTTAAATTTTAAAAGAATTCAAACTGCATACAGATTCAAATTTAGTTCGATACGTGGAATACAGAAATTATTAAGATCTATAATAACACAAATCTTCATATATAATCTGACAATTCCGGAGTCTTATTGACTTGATTTTTGTGCCCGTAGTACAAAAACTACTAATAAAACTCCCAGTTCTGTAAAAAATGGAATAAGCGAACGCGTGAAACTCGCTGCGGTATGAATTGTATGGAAATGAGAATCGTAAAGTTAAAAAGTAAAAAATAAATCCAGCTTTAAAGCTGTACATACATTTTGAAACCTGGCGATATGAGCAAGGGAAAATTAAACAAAATTAAATAATAATAAAAAAATCTAAAAGGTTTCAGATTTTAAATATGTCCAAAGGGGCGTTTTTTTTTTTAAGTTTTGTGTGTTACCTTTATTTTTTAAATATCATGTTCTACGTACTCAAACCATAAAATTCAGTCCAACAGCAAAATCCCAAAATAATTATGAAATGAGCATATCTTAAGAATTTCCGACACAGAGTCTTGCGCGTTGAAGATAAAAAAGTTTTTTTTTTTTGGGGGGGGGTACAATGTTGCCATTGCTCGCTTTGAAATCGTTTAGTTTTTAATCAAAAATTCGTTGAAGTGTTACAAAATATGAAATAAATAATAAAACAAATTAAAATTTAAAATTCGTTCTTCCAAGTACTAATATTCGGGTGGAGGACTACGTTTTCAAAATCTGATGGCTCTAGGTACCGTTGTTTCTTCACAATGCGAGAAACATACAGACATTCATGCAGATTCTTCATTATTTAATTTCTTTAAATATAATATAGGGCGATAATATTTGGTGGTAACAATTTGAAACGTGATTCGCCGTTTATAGTTTTTAACGCAAATGCCAAAACGAAATTAATAGTCCTTCAGGTCAAAGTTCCCCTTTAGACTAATAAATCAACATTAAAAGAAGGTGTGTCAGTTATTCTATTGTTTTTACATCATAACTCAAACTTTGCACAACAGTGATCAATAAAATTAACAAAATTAATCAACTCATGAAATTAAACAAATACCTTGTTTCGGGTAAAGACATTGTTAAACATTAATAAACATTCATCAGCTGAGTGCAACCACGTTTCTCTTGCCTTTTTCTAATATAAGATTTTCCTTACAAACCGCTTATAAAGGCAAATCTCTCAAAACAAATCTTACATATATAAATATTCATTGCGATAAATACTAAATAACTTTTTAACATAAAGTTATTTTTAAATCAATATTTATGTTTATTTTTTACAGCTACTGAAATGACTATGATGAATATGATCCTATTTATAAAGATAAGTTTTAACATGCTGACAAATGTTCATTTGAAACATATATCGCCGTCTCTCTTTATCATTGTATTTACACATCTGTACTCATTTAAATTAACTGAAACAAAAATGTCTCATGTCGTTATTAAATTAGACGTGATTGTGTAAACATGATTTCTTATAAAGTTCATTTACGACACTGTATTTTGTACGAATTCCAAAAAGGAAGAAATACCACAGAAGGGTGTCCAAATTTAGGGGAAAAAGAGAGTATGTGAAGGACATGTTTGAAAAAATTTGAAGCAGGTGATTTTGATCTTAATGATAAGACACATTCCACGCTCGGGATGGCCATCTTTGGTCAATGACGATATTGTTAAGATCATGCTGGAACAAGATCGTTTTTTGACAACATCGGGGCTTGCAGAAAAGCTTTATTAAGCTCAAATAACCATTTTGGACCGTAGTCGGAAACTAGAATTTGTCTGTAAATTCCAGATGTGCGCCTCATTAGTTAATTGATTGAGAGAGATAGAGAAATTGCAAAATAATCATTGTAAAATGTAGCGGTGGTACTTAAGTTTTTCAGTTTTTATTTAGACGGTACGCGTTAGTCGAAAGGTTGATATACGCTGCTGTAGACCCTACTGAAAAGACTAAATAGCGAATTCTCGGCAGGTCTTGGAAGAACAGATGACTTCAGAAGAAGATTTTTAAAACCTTTTTATTTGAACTAAACTTAGCAGAAACGCACTCACTCGGTGTCACAATTTACCACTAATGTAATTTGTGGCTAAGTATTTGAACAGAAAATAAAATAGACAATCACAATAAAAGTAAAGATTAGCTGCACGACTGGCTCCTGCTTCATCTAAATCGCTAAATCGGCTGTACACAGCAAAGCAGGGCCTAAAATATCAGAAGACTGGCTGAGCACCAACTATTCACGTATAGAGATTCTTCAAGCACGCAATATAAACTCGGAACTAACTCTCTTACTAAAAACTCTTAAAACCGCTGCTGAAATACTGATTCTGAACTCACTTAGATTTGCATGCACGTCATTAAAATTTACATTCTGGCAGTAAACTGAAATCATAAGGGAAAGGAGAGCTTCTAAAACTAAAAATAAATGCTCAGAATAAAATAGGGTGTTTACAAAGCGAGTGCCAATTGTATGATTAAAGGGCACACCAGTCGTTCGGTTTAAATCCGCTGAATATCGGCAGTTCCCGTTTCGGACCTTAAATCTCGGTAAAAGAGAAATGCTGGAGAGAAGATTTTATAGCCTTTCCCATACTTCATTGTTGATATGTGCTAGTTTCCTTTAGAAAGTTCCACCAGAAGTTTTTTTTTAACCTTAGGCAGGTAGACTTCCCGTATTTCATCTTATTCAACTATGCAAATAAGATCGTTTTCATCATCCAAACTCGCTTGCTATACTATTTCCTCTTCTGTCGTAATATTCCTAGTTCAGAATAAGTTATTGATCAGCATACCTTTGAGAACTAAAGAAGGAACAGAAGTTGTTGTAATTTTAGTACAATCTCCTTTTAATATTTTAATGTTTAACTCATGTTGGTATTTAACAATAAATAAATAAATTAAATATAAATGTAATCTTGAAGTTAAATTTTAAAACTTAAAGATTTTATATTTTATTCCTCAGTTTTCATTGCGCTTCCTTTCAATCTTTCTGAAATTATCTTCGACTCTCTATGGATGTTTCGTTATATATCTGAGAAGTGCTTTGAATAACAAGTTGATAATCGTAGCTATAAAATATTCAACAGAAAGATTTTAAAAAATTATATTTTTACTGGATTATGACAATTAAATGTTTTTTTCATATATTAAATAACTAGCAGCTACGCGGCCCCCCTTTTAAATGTACCGAAAAATACCTGAAGGGAACACCAAACGTTAAATTTTAAAACTGCCCAGAATTTTACTCTACAGAACAACTTCATCAAAAAAAATTCAAAAGAAATATATTACATATAACAAAATTACAACGAAATAAGCAATATCTCTTAATACAGAAAATATTAATTATCCTAATAAATAAATTAACCAACTTCCCGTTGCCTTCTCTCAACAAAAGTCCAGTATCCAAGAAAAACATTAAATTTAAAAACTGCACAGAATTATCGCCCTCCTTTTTCTCATTTTAATTAATGAAAAACTGTTGCCTAAACCACATTTCTAAAAGAATAAAACTATTCTAAATCGAAAAGATAAATTTAAAAAAAAAATCTAATTCGAATTTTGAAAAACAAAACCGCTTCGAGGTACACTGGCTCTTGTCTAGATGCACTTATATACCAAATTTCGTAGCCCTGGGTGTATTAGCTTAAGCGCAGCACCAACGAAAGACACAGACTCTTTCTTTTATTATATGTAGAGATTAAATATGTTATGATTAACCTATGCAATATTACACATTTAATTTTATAATCTTAAAATCGCATGCATTCATTAAATCATAAAATTAGAAAGATAGCTCTCGATTCAACTTCTAAATTTATATTATCTCTGCATTTTAGATAGAACTAATAAAACAGGCTATTTGTGTGCTTATATATATTCCAACATCATACTTTACTTCTTAAACTCCTATGAATCTACAAAAGAATATAATCAGGAAATAACTGGTAGATTTACCTGCAATTGGTTTCCAACGTAGTAAGCTGGTTATTATTACTATTTATGTGTTCCGCTTCTAAGGCACTATACAAAATGAACGGATGCCTTCGTGAAGGACTTTCTAAGGGGAACTAGCTCGTATTAATACGTTACACATGACGAAAACTCCCATGCAAGCAGCCGGTAAAGACCTTTGCAACTTTAGCAGAAAATGTAATTCTAAATTTTTTTAGCCGATTTAAAATAAAATCTTCTCTATAACTGTATTCAGACAAACCACTGCCTTTGTTTACAAGCAGAATTCTGTACAGCACATAAAGTAGATCAAGTTGCAATAGACAGTTTTAGAAAAGCAACAATTAGTGCATTATTATGGGAAATTTGTTAAAATCTGTATAAGTCTACCTCAAACTGATTAAAAAGGCTTTTTAGAACCACTGAAAGAAGTTAATATTATTTGAAAAATGTTTGAGAAATGTTTATGTCAGCTGTTTTTTTTCACACTAGGTTCGACACAATATGCTATACTGGGCCGTTATTAATAAATAAAAACTGAACTATGGAGCTAATGAATTTTATGTAGACTATTGACACCACTTATTTATGTATATATAGAGAGATAACCTCTATATATTTAATTTTACCTAATGACCTGATGGTCAATGGCCAGGCATTTCATAAATAAAATATACTTAATAATATTTATAAAGATAGAGATAGAGATAAATTCAACTGTATTCAGACAAATTAGAAAGATAGAGATAAATTCAATAACTTTAATTTAGATTCAAAGCATGGAAAGTTTCGAAAGATAAGCTACATTTCAGTAGATGTCATTCCATTTCAGCTGATAACATACTCAAAGTCGCTTTGTTTTTCAACTCCAGTGCATCGCTTCTCGTCAGAATTTCCAGGTATCTCTCTTTTCTATACTCACATTTTAGTTTGATGAAATAATATTTATATGTTTGTAGGTGATTTATAGCATAATTTTAGTTGAAATATGTATATTTACCCGAATTAAAAGCTTTGAATGACATATCAAAACTCATTTTTTCTCTATGAGTGGTCCAAATTAAGATTTCCGCTGCTTTCCTTCCTAGCATTCAATATGTTGCATGTATGTTTAAATTAGGTGAAAAGTTAGATTTTGTATTATAATTGTAAAGCTCGTAGAAGAAATGTTTTACAACTTTCTCTGTAGGAAGTTCCATAGCATACTATCATAGCAAATGAAAGACATATTTTTATTTTTCAAAATTGCGAAAGAAAATATGCTACAAAACTTTCAACCAACGAATTATTTTAAGTTTTGCATCTTGAAATTATTATACACTGTTCGAAAACTGAAAAAAAAAAAAAAAAATCACCGAATGTTAATTTTATTGCCTTCATTTTTTTCTTTTGGTGAGGAAAAATCAAAACATACTTTTAGACCATTTCCCTGTGTTTAAAATAATATCCAAGACTAAGACAAAGATTTTTTGTTTTGCTTCTGTGTTTTAGTTGATGCATTTGTCTTGAATTTGTGACATCCAGTAAGATAGTTTACCACTTTTAATTGATATTATCTCTACATATTTTTTCTCTTTCTTATACATGTGCCCGCCTATAAGATAAAAAAAATAAATAATAACAAATACTCATGTTAATTTAGAGTAGATTCTTAACCCTTCTTTATAATCTGGTTGTTAATGTTTTCTATCCTAAAAAAAATCTGATGTGTACACCACATGACTTCCTTGCACGGAATATTAAATTATATGCATATTTGTTTGCATTTCTTTTAAACTTATTGGATTGAATTTAATCCACTTCGTCGACAGCGTAAACCACAATAGAATAATGCATTCTTTAAAAAAATTCACTATATTTGTTTACCATAGCGACACTCGGACACTAGGTTCACTTAACATGTTACATTTCGTTCATATTATAACTCAGAATGCACAAAATTTATATCATTTGAAAAATTATCTAATCGTTGCGACATGTTATATTCAAATACTATAATAAATCTAAAACGATATATAAAAGAAATTAAGCAAACAAAACAAAAAAGAAACAGTGTCTCACAGACGATTCAGTATTTCTCTTTCAATTAATTCAGTTCTTACTTCCCGAAAAAGCAAAAAAACACACAAAAACTCAAATATCTATATTAAAAATTACGAAGTAAATCTTAAACTTATTTCCTCGAAAAATTCCAGAAAGGATTTAAGCATGATTTAATTCGCAATAATAAATGAAGGCGTTATCTTTGTTGTTGCGAAGCTAAGTTTCTCTAGATTGGCAACAAATCCACTATTCTGCCTGTTTAAATGTAAACAACAATGGGCCGGCCTATCAAAAAAACTAATTAGGCTTAGCGGCCCTTAAACAACGTTTTAAATTGCTGATAATTCCTACAAATATTGCATGCAGATTTACTAAAGGCCTAGAAACCTTAAACGGAAGATAAGAACAACGTAATTCAATCATTTTTAAAGCAAAAAATGCACAATTTACAAACATATAAGTGTAAGGAAACTGAGATCATTCAGCCGGGTAACAGAGTGGATATATATATATATATATATATACATATATTTATATACGTTTGGTGCGCTCTATTGCAACAAAAATACGAGGTGCACATCTACATGTTATAGCAGTCCTATATACAAAATTTCAACGTTCTGAGGTTACTCGTTTTTTGAGTTATGCGGGATACGTATGTATCCCGCATAACTCAAAAAACGCCAAGGAAAATTCTCTTCAGAATTAATTTAAAATCCTTTTATAATTTTTTGGGGGTAAATGAGTCTTTTATTTTGTTCTTACGTACAGATGTCACGCAAAAGCATCGTTAAATTGCATTCGATAGTAGTAAAAATGGATATTTTCGTTGAAATATGATGCTTGAAACTTTTCCCGAATACAATACTTCCTTTTTACTTCGTACAAGGGAGTAAAAAGGACACATGTTTTAAAAATATCTCTAAACTGCTTTATTTCCAAATTAATTGTTGCTGTGTCATTCTTACTAATACTAATGACGCAAGGACTTACATAGCGTTTCAGCCAATAATAGTATTAATATCTGAGAAATTAAATTAACCAATCAAAATGAAAACGAACCAGATTTATTTATCCTGAGCCAGGTCTTTATATCAGAAACTTGGTCTTCCTTCTTTGCTTATCTGACGGCAAGCTTTTTGCTGTTTCTTTTCCTTGCTTCAAATAAATAAAAAATGCTAACAGCCACAAAAGTGATCAAGGACGGGAGCACATTATATGTCCATTAAGCTGTGTGAATCTGTGCCAAAGTATTTTTTCAAATAAACATGACTGTCACTTCATCTTTGTGCATCATCACTCAGTCACTAAGTTGTACATCATCATCATCTAAATTATTATATGTCTGTATAAATATTGTGTCAATACTGTTGTTGTAAAAACATAGTATGTGCTCAATTGGGCGTGATTACTGCTATATCATTATTCATCTCTGTCATTAACATCTAAATATTACATATTATTTATTTACGTATGCATTTCATCTCTATATGCATGCATTAATTGCATATCATCTATATATGCATGTATTTACTTACGTATAACTGCAGAAATGCTATACATTCAATGGTTATTTTCAATATTTGACAGAAACTCTTCTGTCTAGAATATTTTATCAAAGCTAAGTAGTTATTGACTTTCATTCTATAGTAATGAATCTTGAATAATGTTAAAAATGCACTTTTTGAAGAACTGACTACTTCTTACTACTTTTCTAGACAGAAAGAATTTTTCCAGTTATTTCCTCTATTTTATTTCTTTAACGATTTTGATATTAAACATGCTTCAAAATTTCAATTTTTATTTCTGATAAATTAAAATAAATTTTAAGAAAACTGTGAAATAAATTTAAATTTTCATTATGAGAATAGAGGTGTTAATAACAACCTTTAGGAAAAGTATAAATTAGTGTAGAATTTTTTCCGCTGTCATATTCTGAAAACTCTCTCTATATATACACTACTAGCTACCCAAACTGCTACACCAAGAAAGACAAGAGGTGTCACAACAAAATTTATTTAGTAGATAACATGTCGACCAAGTATCAAATGATTAAATTTATAGACTTCTGTGAAGTGTGGTTCCTTCCAGAATCAGTAGCCAGAGTATTCGTCATTGTTGGAGATCACCGCTGCCACACGCCTCGGCATTGCTTCAAAGCGACTTTGGATGTGTTCTTGGGGTACGGCAGACCAAGCAGCTTCCACACGTTGCCAAAGTTGATCTAGTGTGGCAGCTTGGGATGTAATCTGGGTCAATCGTTCAGGAACCATAGACCACATGTTTTCAATCGGCGAAAGATCCGGAGAGCGAGCCGGCCAGGGAAGCAATTCAATCTGGCGATTGACGAAGAAAACTTGGACAATGCGTGCACGTGTGGTCGCGCATTATCCTGTTGAAATATGGCTGTGGGCAAGCCCTGAAGGTAAGGAAGGACAAACTGTCTCCAACACTCAGAGGGTAGCGCTGGCTGTTTAAAGTACCGGCAATGCGTATTAGAGGAAAGCGAGAGTGATATCCAATACTACCCCATACCATAATACCCCTTGCAGGACCAGTGTGGCGGTGTGCAGCTGTTCAGCATCCTCTCTCCACGATGTCTCCAGACTCGAATCCGACCATCGTGGTGTTGCAGACAGAAGCGTGACTCGTCAGTAAAGACAATTTCATTCCATTCTGCCGTCCCCATCCTTATTTCATCGCACCATTGGCGGCGGAGACGTCTCTGGTTCTGCGTCAAGCGTAGACGAAGCAATGGACATCTTGCGAACAGACCACTCTGCTGTAAACGACGTCGAATGGTACGCGCAAACACTGAATGATGCGTTACAGACTGAATGTGCTGTGCTATGGTTCGTGATGTAACTGAGCGATCCGTCACTGCCATGCTCACAATGTTTCTGTCATCACGTGAAGTGGTGCACTGAGGTGGATGCGATGGAACACGTCGGTCCGTCGCACCCTCCTGCATCCAACTGTCACATATCCGCATTACAGTTGTTTGGTTTCATCCAACACGACTACCGATTTCCCTGAAAGCTAATCCACACTCTCGGTAGGCCACTATCCTTCCTCTGTCAAACTCGGATACTTGATCAAACGATGATTGCTGTTTACTACGAGACATAATTGATCGTTTTTTCTAAAGAAACCACAAGAAAAACATAATTCCGGAACTTGAAATCGTCGAAAACTCCAAGCCTTAAATAGCACTTCGAAGTGGCATCACAGGCGCACGTGATGTGCGGTCTGCGCTGAAATTCTAATCATTTGCATATTTCACCTCCGCTAATGCATGTTGTAAATTTCATGTTATTTGCATGCTTCCTTCAGGGTGTTGCATTTACGTTGGCGAGCAGTGTATATATAAAAGATTAAAAAATATGGAAATTAGCTTTATAATTTTATTTATCAATTACCTCTTAACTCCTCCTATTTAATTTGCGTATTTCCTCACCGTATTCTAGAAACGGTAATAACTTTTCTGGACTTGGTCATTTCCAAATCAGTCTAGGCCACATGGCTTGCGTAACGCTGATGACGTACCCTTTGGACTGAACTCAGTAACTGAACCCTTTGGAGACGAATGTTACGAAGCGATTAACGATACGAATGCGAAGTTCGAAAGGCGAGTAATAACACTTGACGATTCTTGTTCGAACGCTATTTTTGTTTCGACGCGTTTGAATCACTCTAAATTTGATTTTGATTTGGTACACAAAAATACATGACGATATCTTTCATCTATATTTAATGAAAACACCAAAATATATCACAGTAATACAGACACATCGCAATGGCGAACCACAGTTACATAATGTAAAAACACAGAAGAATTCTTTGGCGCAACAGCGCC